GGATGGGATTTACATCATCTAACAACTGCTCACAGTGCACAGGCAATATTCCTGATGATTATATCCATGCACTCTGGTTCTGCCCACCCGTTCAGAGGTTCTGGGTCCAGGTTTGTGAAGACTTGTCTAAATGTCTGAAATGTAATATTCCACTCTCTCCGTCTGTTTGCTTATTGGCTATCTTGGAAGATGTTACCCTGGAAAAAAATACATGTCGCATGATTTTCACTGCCTTATGCATCGCAAAGAAAACCATACTCCTGAATTGGAAAAATAAAAATAATCTTAGCATTAATCAGTATAAAAATCTTCTGTTAGATCAAATTAGTCTTGAAACAGCATCTGCCGACACATTGGATCAATCTCTGTGGGCTCCTTTGATCAGCTCCGTTACATAGTTAGGGTGGGTAGTCTGGGATCTGACCTTGTGGGGCCTTGGGGTTGATGTGGAGGCGGGTGTATGGGTTTGGGGCCCCGGGGGGGTTGCCGGGGGCTGGGCTCTTGGGGGTACCTGGGCAGGGGGGCACTGCTTTCCCTCTGGGGAGGGCCTGGGTGGTTCTGGGGGATGTCTGCTGGTGGCTGCATGCAGGCCCTCAGGTGGTCTGTGGCGGCGGTCGTGGGTCACCGATCTGGTAGCCTGGCTGTGCTGGTGTGGGTTCGGGGTGGGCGCGGGGGCTTGGGGTTCTGGGGGCTTGTCGCCCCCGGGCTTGGACCTGTGGGGATCGGGGATCTTGGGCTCTGGCGGGCGGGTTGCCGGGCTCTGGGCCGGCTTGCGCTCTGGTGCCCGGTTCTGGGCCGGGGCCTTCGGCTCGCTGGTGGGTTGTGGGTTCATGGGCTGGGGGGTTGGGTGTTTGGGGGCGTGACCAGTGGCCCCTAAGAGGGGGTAGTTTGACCCAGCCTAGGTGTCTAATGTGCTATGTGTTTTGAGAGATGTCCGAATGAGGGGTGGGTGTAGTATTTCTTCTGGGGTGGGGATGGGGTGGATGTCCTTGGGGGCGGCCCGGGACTGTGCATGGCCGGCTGGCTGGCCCCTTTCCTGTGGTGGGGGCTCGCTCCCGGTGCTTCCTGGCACTGTCGGCGGTTGGGCGGGCGCTCTTGGCCGGGTCGTCCTGGTGGGGTTTGGCTTCATCTGGTAGCGGGCTGACTGCGGTTTGTGGGGGTCCTGGCGGCCCTCGGGTGTGTAGGCTGCTGTTACTGCTTCTGGCGGCCCTCGGAGCTCTGTCCCTCTCTGGTCTGGAGCTCAGCGGGCCTGGCCGTCGGTCCAGATGGAGAGGTGTCTTGGCCTCAATCCCTGGGTGGACCTTGGGGAGCTGGGGGGGGGGGGGGGGGCTGTTGGGTCAGTGGGGGAGCTGACTCCCTGTGGGAGCATTTGCTCTCAGTTATTTCTCCCCATCCCTCACCATGCACCTCCACCCTCTTCATTTCAATTCCATACATTTAGGGTTGTTTGGGCTCGGGTGTGCTGCAACAATTTTACATCTTTGTTGACCATAGCCACCTGGGACTCAATTTTATTGTACACCTTAGACATTCATTCATAACATCCTCATGAAATTCATATATAGGAACTTGAGGTGGGCACATGGCTATGGGTGGTGGGATGACCTTACTCTCACCCCCTTTGCCTGTGCTCACTTACAACGGTTGCATTTAGACACTAGGGTTTGGATAGAGTTGGGGTGGAGGGGAAACTGGCATCATGCCAGCCTTTGCTCCTTCTTCTTTCCTTTTTAATGGCACTATACAACAACACACATCAACAGCACATCTAGGGGCGGGGGTGTATGTGTCGGGGTCTTATTATTATTATTTTTTTTCTTCCTAGCCCCCTAGTTCCCTGACTGCCATTCCGGGGGTGGGGTCCGGGAGAAGGGCAGGCCATAGGGTGTTGACCAGGACTATGTGGGGGTTCAGGGTCTAGGGGGTTGCCGTGGGCGGTGCTGGCGCTGTGCTCTCCCTGGGGTTGTTTGGACCCCCTGAGCTTGGCTCTTGGGTGCCATGGTTGGCCCGCTGGCCGGGGTGGCTGCCGGGGCCTGGCGGGCGGTCGGCTGGGGGCGCGTGCTTGGTTGTTGGCGGTGTGTGGGGGTGGTCGGTGGCGTGTCCTCTTCATGGTGGGGGGGTGTCCTGTCGGCGGGGCATGGCCTGGGCCGGGTCTGGGGTATTGGCTCTTCTCCGCTCGAGAATGAATGGGTTTACCTCCTGGGTTTGGGCATGGGCTGCCCCCTGTAGAGGGCCGGTACATGTCTTGGACCTGGGGGGTATAGAGTGCGTATCGGGAATAAGAATGAAATGTATCGTTATTGTATGTCTTTGAGTGAGTGAATGTGAGACTGAGGTTAGGATTGTGTGATTGTGTCTGTGTATGAATGGGTATTTGTTAGGCCGAGACTCGGACTGCCCCCACTTTGATACAACTGGGGGTGCTTGGCATCGCGCCCCTATCGCGCGGCCCCCTGGTGGGGTGTGCCCTTGCCTGCCGGCGTGCTTGGGGCCCTTGGTGTCGGGGGCTGGGCGCTTGGGCGTGTGTCAGCTCGGCCTGGTGTCTGCCTGGTGGGGCTCGGGTCCTCTGGCCCTGTCGGGCCTTGGCCTGGGTGGTGTGAGTCCTCGGTGCCCGGGCCTCGGTGCCCGGACCTGGACCTACATCGGTGCGGTGGGTTCCGACGGAGGCCTATGAGTTTGTCGCTGTTGGCCCCGGGGGGTCACTGTATGTGGTCGCTGGTGGGGATCTTCCGTTTCTCCCCTGTGGTCCGTTCTGGGGGGTGGGTGAGTGGTTCGTCCTGTATGGGTGGCTCTGGGGGCTCCGCGGTCGGGGTCCCTCCTGGGGT